GTTACTAAAGTTTACTAAATCTTTGTATCTATTTCGAAGACAGTCCACACTAATTTTCAATTAGCAAGGAATGGGATCACATCCCATATTTCCATAATAATACACTAAGCTTTGAAAATGGTTTGGAGCACGAAGGACGTAATATAATTCATTTAAATTCAAACATCAATCGACTCTTGTTGTCAAAAATCAAAGTATACATGTATAATGTGTAGTTGAAACGACCAATGGACCATTGGTTCATATGCACGTTCTAAGCATACATTGTAGCGATTTGGAATACAGAAAGGGTAATACATAAAATGCGTTGGTGCATTATGAAACATTGTTTCCATAGAATTAGCTTTTACTGCAAAAATAAAGAAATATAGAAAACAAACAAGGTTACGAGTTTAAAATCGTATTAAAGAAACATTATTTTTATATAAATATGTATTTGAGAAAAATATAGTACGGCGTTTGATGTCCTTAATACTAAAAGCATTACATAGTTATATGCATTTGGTACAAATATAGCAAGATTTTAATGTGGCTGGTGTTAAAAGAATTTTTTAGTTCAATGCATTGGGAAAAACTCAATTTTCTGATAAATTTAGCCATGAATTTCGGAGTGGTAAAAAACTCTAAATCCAAATGACCCGTGTCGTTTACAATGTTGCAGATGTTATAGATTCCATGCTCTCATTTAGTAAGTTCAAGTTTATTGTATACTTTTGTCATGTTTTGGAGGCGATGTGAATAAACTATGTTTCGTTTCAGAATGACTCTGAATTTTTCAACACTAACCAGTTATATATTACTTAAATTCAAACTTCACTACAAGATCGTATTACAACGGTTTCCTAGGAAACTTGGACCGCCCGAGTCTTTCGGACGAAAAAAAGTATTACTATTGGGCTTTTTATATACTAATATTAAACTCGTTGAACCATCTGCTCTATGATTCTAAAAAGTTTGGACAAATACAACCAAATATAATTAAAAAAATTTCTTATACGAGTATGTAGTTTTGGTTGTAAATCATTAATTCAAAGAATCAGATTCTAGTACTGACTGTAAAGTTCTACTAAAATAGTATTCATTTAATTTAAACCATTATTTCAAAATTGCTTATTTTTTCATCTCTACCATTTCTCTTAAAACAATATGTATTTGGGTGTAGATCATTATTTCAAAATTGCATATTGTTCGTCTTGACCATTTCTCTTAACACAGTATTTATTCAATTGTAAACCAGTATTTTAAAGAATCATGTTTTAATTTTTCTAGTAAGTTCCCCTGATCACGTTTCAAAATATATTGTCAATTCTTTTTATTCCAAGCTTCATGTCCTTCATTAATGGTTTCCTGCCATGTTTCTCGTAAGCAATGTCATTCTATGAGTTCGTCTCAATCAAAACATTACTTGCAATCAAAACATTACTTGCAAAATTTGTAGTTAATAGCTTTAATCTAAGACACTAATTGAAACTCCAGCCTACAAAATAAGTACTCAAGTCACTAAACTTCAAAGTAAATATGCAAATCCCCAAACTTGAAAGCCATTTTAACCTCCAGACTTCAAAGTAAATATACAAACATCCAGACTGCAAAATGATTATTGAAAATACTAGACTTCAAGTTTTGCTCTTCAAAACTACAGACGTCACAGTCAGTATTCCATCCTCCAGACTTTCAAATTCATTTTTCAAAGGCCCATAATTCTCGGTCAATTTTCAGAACTGTAATAAAACAAAAACAATTGAATACCTCAAACTAAAGTTTCAGGAAACAATAAAAATACGTTTACAGTGATATTCATTGACAATATTGAATTTGTGGTTAATTATGCAAGGCATTCTGCAATTATCTTAAGGAACCCCTATAAAACGATATTCAACCAAACATAGATACATGAAATCAACAATATCATGAAATACACCAATATGGAATAAATCCACACTGGAACTCCCAACTATCAACATATGATCGGATAATGCAACAGGAACAATTACACTATGCACAGGTGAACTTTTCCAATACTCTTTGCAATAGATGTATCGCGAAAAGAGTTGGAAAAGTTAACCTGTGCATTAATATATATATCACAAAAAGGAAATATACTTGGCCCTTGGCTAGCCCAACTAATTCAAAGGAAATGTGCAGAAATGTCATTAGCATATTACAAGCGAATTAACAATTATATACATAGATCGAATTATCCTTATAATGTTCTCTTTTAATCCCTTATTTATCAACATACACGAAGAATTGTTTGCAACAAACTAATCAAACGCTCATGTAAGCTCCATATAATTTGCTGGAACAAAATAATCAAACCGTTTGGTAAAATTAAAACAAGCACAAACAAATTTTTCTCGCCTTTTTCAAATAATGCATTGGACGTGCATACAAAATATACTTAGTACCAGTGGTTTCTATACCAGAACAATTGCATGTTTGGGCTTCAAAATAATTATGGAAATTTTCAGCCACGTAGTTAGCCCGCTGTTAAGCCAGGCCATTAACATGAACCGGTAATACTAAATCAATGCTAGACGTAGTATGATATACTGCTAAGTTACCACTTCTACACGTGATTCATCATGCAGGATGTTCATGTAAATGCATTAACTTTGTAAAGAAGTATATCTTTGTTCAAAATATATGACAAATTTAATTACAGAAAAGGGGATAACTATTATAGTGTTATTTCATGTTTAGGTATCAGACGCAATAATTAAGTGTTCTACATTATTTAAATTCATTACAAAGTGTTTATCACTCACAGTACTAATTTCAGGCAGTTCTGAAGTAACATTGTTTCCTATCTGATTGAATGATTGGTCGACGTATTGGAATAAATATCAGAGCGACTCACACAAGTGAAACAACTGTGATAAAAGAAAACAAAAACAAAACCTTCTTACGTGCAGTTTGTGTGTTTAGCGAATTCAAGAAATATTACTTAATAACAACGTTTGGGAAAAAATGTTTTAATCCAAAGCATATTTTTTTCCGGATGCTGGGGTCTGATCTCGTAAAACAATTGCCAGTAATTTTCGCCTTAAATCAAAACAACTTAATTCTGTAAGGGCACAAAATATGTAACATTTTTTTATCCATGTTGTCAACTTGACTCAAACATTTTCAAAGATAGTCTGATTAAATAATATAAAAATCAGTGCCAAGAAGCCACACGGATTCGAGGCGGAGGATGCTGAGATTATACATGTTTGATATAGAAACGTTGTATGGGAAATTGAGTAATTGTATTTTGACCACAAACCATTTTGTCCACAAAATACCCTTTCGGGTGAGAAAATGTTTGTCAAATAAGCTAAATTTTATTGTAAAGGCAAATTTAGAAAAATGGATATCTATCTATCTATCTATCTGTCTATCTATCTATCTATCTATCTATCTATCTATCTCTCTCTCTCTCTCTCTCTCTCTCTCTCTCTCTCTCTATATATATATATATATATATATATATATATATATATATATATATATATATATATATATATATATATATATATCAACAAATCCGTCCACTTCACATAATGCGTCAGTCAAAACAGTTTTTTCAAGCAAGATACAACATGAATCCTGATTCTGAATCACACATGTGGACGACAACCCATGATTTTGTCATACAGGACTTATCCCTTCTTTCCGCTAGTAAAACTGCTGGGTTTAACAGGGTCTCTCTCCATGTCATTAATTCGCAAATGCTTTAATCGTAGACTTTCTCAAACTTAGTAATTTAAACGCCCGTAAAGAAAACAAATTAATATTATGTTTGTAATATATATAAATCTAAACAAAAGGATTGTCTAACATTTCCAGCAAATAAGTCTAAAATGATTTTATTTATCGCATAATTTAAAGATCACAAAGGATAAATAAATGACACTCATCCTTAACAGGACAATGCAAGGACTGGTCGACCTAGTGTTTGAGTTTGACATGATGACACCTGTCTTCGGCATAATGTCCTGGTGCGACATGTCATCATAAACTTCTACACTGCATACATCATAGCGATGTGACTGAAAATGTCTTAAAGCAGCATAAGAAAAGACGCACAAACACACCTACTTAGTAACATAGCTCATACAACATAGAGAACACCTTGTGGAATATCATGTGTGTGTAGTCCATTGTGAAGTGTATATATATATATATATATATATATATATATATATATATATATATATATATATATATATATATATATATATATATATAACATTAACAGAGCTTATGAATAGCTCAGAAAAGAGGGTTTTTTTTCCTAATGTAACAGTTTATTTGAGGAAGCGATATTCAAAGTTCGCTGTAAAGCGCAATTTTGAAGTAGCATAGCTCAGTGCGTAGGTTACTTATTGCTGGAGCATGATGCTATAACACTATATTCATACTAAATTGTGTTAATGTTTTGGACTAAATTAATTAGCGCAATTCTTGCGATACTATTTCATGTATTAGCTGATCCTGAAGTTGTCATATGTTTAACTGTACATTATTTTTTCTCTCCTGCCAAACCGATTATAAAAAATGCGAATGCTCTGATGAAAGTCTCTTACAATTATAAGACTACATATGTATAACATACAACACAACTGTGGCTCCTTAATACTCCATCAATTGAATCATGCCTTCACTTATTAAATATTGCAAATTTGGTCAGATCGTTTAACTTTCTATGTATTATGCAATAAATCTGTAAAGATAAACTTCAGTGTCTCAGTTTATGTTTGCATTCTCTTAAAGGTAGAGTGATGTGATGTAATATGATGTGATTATGATTTTTAACGTAGCTTTAACAATTTTTTTCAGTCATATCGCAATGGTGTCTGCAGCGTAGCAGTTTATAGTGATGTCTAGCACTGGGGCATGATGTCCCACCCAGTCTCATTATCCTGACACCAGGCCGAGCTGTGCAAACACTAATCTCTTAATGCTGAGCGTCAAGCGAGGTAGCTGTTAGTACAATTTTTGTAAGTTCTTTGGTATGACGCGACCGGTGTTGGAACCCACGACCTCCCGCTTCTGAGGCGGACGCCCTAACTACTAGGCGACCGGAGCAGTAAAAGGCAGGAGTAAAATATATATATATATATATATATATATATATATATATATATATATATATATATATATATATATATATATATATATATATATATATATATATCCTTCAATTTTTACTATAAGAATAACCGGTATGGAATCAAATATCAGGGATATAATTTGTGTTACATAAATGTACAAAAAAGTAAAAATCGATGTCGCTTTGGCTTGTAGACTTTTAGGAAATTATACACTGTTTTCAGTATCCGCAAGAAGTCTATACAAGCTGGTTGTATTTATAGTTTTATCCCATGTAGAGATAGCCATATAGAGCTTTACAAACACAACGTGTTTGTGTTTATTTGTTTTATTAATTTAAAACAATTATTAAAGTTTTGGGGGCCAGTGCAAAAAATTGAAAATGGTGTTTCCTAATATTCTCTGAACAGACCATTTTAATAATGATGCATCCTATACCAATTTGTTGTACGACTCTTGGGTCTCTGTTTACTTTCAAGATGTAATAACATATTGTGGAGTTTGCACCCTGGCACCTTTGCATCTGTTAATGGTCAATTAGTAATATATAATATAATATAAAATTGATTCTCATAGTGTTATGTATTTTGTTTGAATTTTGTAATAAATTTGTTTTATGTACATATGTAGTCTCTATTTGACCTTTGTTCAAGATCAAGCCTACCTTGACCGAAGATAATTTTTTGTAAACAACATAATACATATCTCTATGAGAATAGATTAAATTTTCATATTTTTATTAATAGCAAAAATGTATGTTTAAATTTGGGTTAAAGACATTATTTTGATTCTGAACTTAGAAGCTTCCAGAATGGAAATATCCGAATAAGTTGACAGATTTTGGAGAAAATGATAATTAAGACCTAGAATAAGTACAGTAGTATATAATATTTTGTAAGAATTATTCCTTCTTTTCTTAATCTTTGTATCATAATTAGTCATTTTTGTGTTCAGTATTTAATTAAGTTGCATGAAAATATTCAAAATATTATTTACTCGTAATTCCAATTTGTTCAATAATAGTATTGTACTAAAATATAAATTTGGATTTGTAATGAATTCACACAAGGATATATTTGAATTTATCCTAATAGTACATTCAAGACTACAGACAAATCAACACATTAATTTAGAACTTAGCATGAATACCACTGATATTTTATTAAAACTTCACACATTATGAGTTTGTATGGATCGTGTAAGGATTAATTTTACAGTGCTGAAAAATCTTTATAAATTGCTTGAGCTTACCAGACAATATGGATAATCTGAGACTAAGGCTTTTCTACACACACCGTCTACCAGAGTTAGTCTTAATGACTTGATAACATGATCATGTAAAAATATTTACTAACGTAATTATTGTTCTCTGAACTATCCCATTGTTCTCTTATAACTATTTCACTAGTTCTCTGCGGCGAATGTAAGCATTATCTGTGAAAAAATCGTTTGATGTCCGTACATTATTAATTACACACTGACAGTTATTTGATTGATCTTTGTGAACCATTTACTTGTTCTCGGTGAAGTATAAAGTTCCTCTCTGTGAACATTTAAGTTATCACTTGTCAACTATTCAGTTGCTCTCTTTGAAGTAAGTAATTGTTCCCAGTGAAGTATTACATTGTTTTATATGAGCAATTCAATAGCTCTGGTGAAGTATTCCACTGCCTTGTATGAGAGATTCAATCGTTTACTGTTTATTATTCAACTCTTTTATATGAGCCATTCAGTCTTTCTCTGGGAAGAATTACATTTTTTTATATGAGCCATTCAATCATTCTCTGTGATCTATTCCACTTTTGTATACGATATATTCAATCGTTCTCTCGGAAGTATTCACATTCAATCGTTCTTTGAGAAGTATTCCATTTTTTTGCATGAGCCATTCAATTGGTGTCTGTGAAGAAATTTATTGTTTTGTATGAGCCATTCAATCGATCTCTGTGAAGTATTCCATTGTTTTAGATCACCCATTCCATCGTCATCTGTGAAGTATTCCATTGTTTTAGATGAGACATTCAATCATTTCTTGTAGACGAGCACTTCAATCGTCCACCGTGAAGCATACCATTGCTTTAGATGAGCTATTCAATCGTTTTTTGTGAAGTATTCCATTGTTGTAGACAAGCAATTCATTATTTGAGAAGTATTCCATTGTTTTACATGAGTCGTTCAATCATTATCTGTAAAGTATTCCATTGTTTAATATGACCCATTCAATCGTTCCCTGTGTGAGGTATTCATTTGTTATAGATGAGCCATACAGTCGTTCTCTTTGAAGTATTCAATTGCTAAGACGAACCATTCAATCGTTCACTGAAGTATTCCATTGGTTTAGAGCAGCCATTCAATCATTATCAGTGAAGTATTCAATTGTTTTAGATGAGCCATTCAATCGTTCACTGTGAACTATTCCATTTTGTTTAGATGAGCCATTCAGTCGTTCATTGATAAGTATTCCATTGTTTTACATGAGCAATGTAAGCTTTCTCGGTGAAGTATTCCATTGTTATAGATGAGCCATTCAATCGTTCTGTGTGAAGTATTTAACTGTATTAGATGAGCCATTCAATCGTTCTGTGTGAACTATTCCATTTTGTTTAGATGAGCCATTCAGTCGTTCACTGTGAAGTATTCCATTGTTTTAGATAAGCAATGTAAGCTTTCTCGGTGAAGTATTTCATTGTTATTGGCGATCCATTCAATCGTTCTGTGTGAAGTATTTAACTGTATTAGATGAGCCATTTCTTCGTTCACTGTGAAGTATACCATTGTTTTAGATGAGCAATTTAAGCTTTCTCTGTGAAGTATTCCATTACTATAGATAAGCCATTCAATCGTTCTGTGTGAAATATGTAATTGTATTAGATGAGCCATTCAATCGTTCTGTGAAATATTCCATTGTTATAGATGACCCATTCAATCGTTCTGTGTGACATATTCAATAGATTTAACTGCAGTTCTCTGTTAAGTATTCAAAAGTTTTAGATGAGCATTCTATCATTATCTGTGAAGTGTTACATTGTTAGAGAGGAGGCATTGAATCGTTCTCTGCGATGTATTCCATTGTTTTTATAAGCCATTCAATCATTTTCTGTGACGTATTCCATTGTTTTAGAGGAGCCATTCAATCGTTCTCTTTGAAGTAATTCATTGTATATTTTTATTTTTATGAGCATGTAAATAGTTTTCTGGAACTATTCTGTTGTTTTAATAGTTTTGCACTGTTTCATATGGGCCATTCAATCGCTCTTTGTGAATTTTTCCATTGTTTTGAATAAGCCGTTCAATCGTTCCCTGTGAAGTATATAATTTGTTCAGTTGATCCATTCAAACGTTCTCTGGAAAGTATTTCATTGTTCTGGATGAGTACTACATCGTTCTCTGTGCATTATTATATTGAGCCATTAAATCTTTCAGTGTGAAGTATTCCAATGTTTTATATGAGCCATTCAGTAGTTTTCTGGGAATTATTCAGACAATCAATCGGTCTCTGTGAAGTATTCCTTGATTTTATATATGCCTTTCGAACGTTTTTTGTGAAGTATTCTAATGTTTGTTTGAGCCATTTAAACTTTCTCAGTGACCTATTCCATTATTTTAGATTAGCCATTCAATCATTCTGTGTGAAGTATTCCATTGTTTTGCATCTACCATTCAATCTTTCTGTGAAGAATTCCATGGCTTTAAATGAACAATTGAAAGATTCTCTATGAAGTAGTGTGATGTTTTATATGAGCCATTAAATAGTTTTCTGTGAAATATTCCATTGGTTTAGATGAGTCATTCAATCGTTCTCTGTGAAGTACTCCTTTGTCTTAGATGCGCCGTTGATTCTTTCTGTGTGAATTATGCCATTGTGTTTTGTTTATATGAGCAATTCTATAGTTCTCTGTGAAGGTTTCCTTTGTTTAGGATGATCCATTCATTCGTTCTCTTTGAAGTATTACATTGTTTTATATCAGCCACTCAATCGTTCTCTTTGAACTTCCATTGCTTTCGATGACAAATTCAATCGTTTTCTGTTAGGTATTCCGTTGTTTTAGATGAACCATTCAATCGTTCTCTGTGAAGTATTACATTGTCTTTGTTGAGCACTTATATTAGTTTTATGTGTTTATCTGAGCCATTAAATCGTTGTCTGAAACGTATTGTATATTTTTATAAGCGATGCAATCTTTCTTCGTGAAGTATTCCATTGTTTTAGATAAGTCATTAAATCGTTTTCTGTGAAGTATTCCATTATTATAGATGGTCCATTTAATAGTTTTCTGTGAAGCAATCCATCGCTTTAGATGAGCTATTCAATCGTTCTGTGCTGTGTATTCCATTGTTTTAGATAAGTCATTCAAGCGTTCTATTACAAGTATTATATTTCTTTAGAAGAACCATTAAATCGTTCTTTCTAAAGTATTCCATTGTTTTAGATGTGTCATCCAATCGTTCTTTGTTAAGTATACCATTGTTTTAGATGGGCCATTTAATCGTTCTCTGTGGATTATTGCATTGTATTTTTTTCAGCCATTCAGTTGTACTCTGGGAAGTATTATATTGTTTTAGATTAGACATTCACTCGTTCTTTGGGAAGTATTCCAATGTTTTACATTTCCCATTTAATTGTTCTCTGTGAAGTATTCCATTGTTTTGAATCAGCCATTCACTCGTTCTTGGGGAAGTATTCCATTGTTTTATACGAGCCTTTCATTCTTTCTTTGGGAAGTATTCCAATGTTTTATACGTCCCATTTAATCGTTCTCTGTGAAATATTTCCTTGTTTTGGACGAGCCATTTAATCTTTTTCTGTGAAGTATTCCACTGCTTTGGATCAGCCATTCACTCGTTCTTTGGGAAGTTTTCCATTGTTTTATATAAGCCTTTCATTCGTTCTCTGTAAAGTATTATATTCTATTAGCTATCTGATGATGCACTTTGCTGCAATCTTTATTTCTCTAGGTTCTGAAGCACCAATCGAA